GCCATGTCTGGACCATTAAACCAGTGTTTCCCAACCTTGTGCCTCCAGATGTTTTTGGCCTACAACTCCCATCATCCCTGACTAGCAAGACCAGTGGCAAGGGATGATGGGAATTGTAGGCCAAAACAGCTGGAGGCACAAGGTTGGGAAACACTGCATTAAACAGTTATGACCCTTTTGAGCAGCGCCTGTAGTGGCTGCCTTGCCCCGGAGGGATCTGAAGCCTGGAGCTGCGGTTCTTTTGCTCCCGGGATAAAGGTGCAGGGCTCCCTCCTCTGGCCCCCCACCCTGCCGCCTCCTGGGCCCGCAGGCCTCGGCTGGTTCAAGGAACCTTCTAACAGACAAGGGGCAAGCAGGGCGGCATGGAACGCGGGCAGCGCACTGGGCATACTCACCGGCATGGCTGAGTGGGCATAGGAATCCCCCTAGGGAGGGAAGGTCAAGACAGGAAGCTTCAGAAGACCCACCCGGCTGGCAGGCAGCAAGAGGGGGCGATGGCAGCCAAAGGGGGCAGGTGAAGGGGGCAGTCTGGCTCCACGCAGCAGCTGGCACCGTCCTCCTCCGCAGGGAGGAAGGGAAGCACTGCCTGGGCGAGTCACGGACCGGCTTCTCTTCCGCAGGCAGCCTGGCCAAGGACAAGGGAAGCAATCTGGGGGACAGGGGGACCCCGGCCCTGAGGTCAGAGGCAGAAGAGCTCCAAGCAGCAGTTGCAGAGGAGGGGAGCCTTGCTTGCGAGAATTCAGAGGCGCCGGTGGAACTCTCTGCCAACAGAAATCCCGCAGGTGCCTTCTGCTTCTACATCTCTAGGCCTGCAGAAAAGTTGCCTGTTCCACCAAGGCTAAGCAGACAATTAAGAATACCTCTTTCCGCAACAGTTAACTGATCTCTGTCTTGAGCCTTTTCTATATGGCTTTTATTGCATAGTTTTATGTTTTGATTGCTTTGATGGGGGGGGGATGTTTATGACACAGTGGTATACAAATATTTCTAGAAATACTTTGTGGGTGTTCATCTTGTAAACTGCCCTGTGATCTTTGGATGAAGGGTGATACATGAATTTAATAACTAATCATAATAATAAAATCTGGGCGAGGAGGGAGGGAGGGGGAACTGCCACTGGGATCAGGTCTCTGGGCCAGATGGAGGACTGCTGTTTGTGTCTGGAGGGGGGAGGGGGGGTTCACAAACTGAGGGGCATCACCAGCCAAGGGTGTCTCTGGGGTTCAATAACGTTTGCCAAAGGCACCTTCCCAGCGGATTCTGCTGCTGGGCTCACTAGCTATGCCAACGCTGGGGGTGCCTCCATAATTCTGCACTGTGTGAGGAAGGGCTTTCTATCTGTCCTGAATCTTTCAACATTCAGCTCCTTGAATGTTCTGTGGTTATCAGAGAGGGAAGAAAACTTTCCTCTGTCCACTTTCTCCACGCTGTGCATTATTTTATAAACTTCTGCCATGATGCCTGTCACTCGCCTTTTCTGACAGCAACCCTGCAAAGTAGGCCAGTCTTACTGCCCGCATATTGCAGATGGGGAAGGGGTCTGCAGCTGAGGAAGCCTGGCTTGCTCAAGGGAGCTTATGGTCAAGGCAAGATGTTGGCCAGGGGCTCTGTGGGTCCCAGCTTAGCCTCCCCCCTTGCCCCACATATGCGCCCCCCTCGCCCACCAGCTCCTAGGTCATGGTGGGGCTTTGGTATCCAAACTGGGAGGTGCCGTTTCCCTCACATTTCGGATACGTGAGCAGCTGCATTACAGATGCGCTGACGAGCCCATCCAAAGGGGCAAATTTCCTTTACAGTGGGACCTCGGGTTAAGAACTTAATTCGTTCTGGAGGTCCGTTCTTAACCTGAAACTGTTCTTAACCTGAAGCACCACTTTAGCTAATGGGGCCTCCTGCTGCTGCCACGCCGCCGCCGTGCAATTTCTGTTCTCATCCTGAAGCAAAGTTCTTAACCCGAGGTACTATTTCTGGGTTAGAGGAGTCTGGAACCTGAAGCGTCTGGAACCTGAAGCGTATGTAACCCGAGGTACCACTGTATGGGGAAATAAACTTTGCAAAGCTCTCCACCCCCCAGGGGCAAGCAAAGGCTTTCTGTGCAAGGACGGGGACAGCCAGATCGACCCGCGAAGGAGGGCCTGGACCCAAGCAAGACTTTTAAATATTTTTCACGGTTCCATCTGAAATCTGCGCTCACCATCTGGCCAAAAGTAAACAGGGGAGGAGGGGGGAAAGCGAGGGAGAGGCGGAGGGAGGGAGGGAGAGCACCAGGCTCCCCTTGCAAAGAGTTCAGGCTGAACTGCTGGAGCCGATTACGGCCGGGAGGATTGCTGAAAGATTACTTCCCCTTCCCAGGTCGCCGTAACCTCCTGACCTTCCCCGATTACCCCGCACAAGAAGGTTATCAAGATACAAGCCTCCGAGGATTAAAGGAAACTTAAAAATCAAAACAGAAAAACACTCCTTTCCCCAACAAATAAAAAACTTCCTTGCTTTGTTAAGCTGACAGCCCCGCCATAGGTGTTGACATAACCTTCCATCTGCAAAAGGCTTAGAGTCAACAAATCCGCACGCTTGGCGCAGATCTGTCCAGGCGATTTACTCTGACTTGTCTGACATGAAATTAAAATAACAGGCAGCCACCAGGGACAAAGGGGCTCCCTCTCTCTCTCTCTCAGCCATGATAGCCATCTCCTGCAACCACAGACCCGTTCTCAAAAGAGCTGGAGACCATTTTGAAAAAATATATATATAAAATACTAGCTGGTTTTATTTTAGATTTGGGTGCCGGGGTTTGCCTCCCATTCCTTTGTGGCGAACCACTACCACCCTGCTCGTCTAGTGCATTCGGGGTGGGGTGGGGGTCCCAGGTCCAGGGTTTCATCCCTGAGCATGTTCCACTCTTTTGAGGCCATCTGAAAACAGTTATTCCAAATCACCAAGGAAGTTCTCTGCATGGTGGCCATCACAGGCTGGAGGGCCCCACTGTCATGTGCGAACTCTTCACCCTGGGCTTCAGCATTTGACAGCGCAAAGCCTGCGGGTCCCGGCTCCAATTTGCTGCCCTCTTCTCAAGCCAGCACCCAGTGAGGAAGCAGCAGGATGGAGAAGCGTCCGTCAGGACCAGAGGGGTCATGCCACCCTCTTTGGGGGAGCACGTCCTGTCCAGACTCTTCGCAGCCACTTCCAAGCTCCCCACCAGACCATTTCTGGACACGAGAACAGAAACGCCCACCTGAAAGCAGGGAAAACCGTTTCTGCTCGGTCTCTCCCAGCCCCACTTTGAGAACGTCCTGATAAATCTGGGAGAACATCATTAATGGTTTAAGGAAGATTAATCGCTCCAGACCCATCCCATAAATCATCGCAGACACGTCCTGCATTCCCGCACATCTCCACGTTAGGGATGCTTTATGCTCGGGTGGAAAAGCGTCCCCCGCAGAGCTGAGCTGCTAAAGGAGGCCACCAACTGGAGGGCTCTATAAGCCAGACCTTGAACTGAGGAGTGGGGCTCTCCCCAACCCTGTGCCAGGGAAAGCAGGGCAGGCAAGAACGTCCCCTTCAACGTCATGATATGCAATGACCAAAACTAAATATTGCGTGCAAAATCTGCAAGAGGGTCTCCCAACGGACTGTGCGTGCTCACATTTCAATGAAATGTAGTCACTGACAACGGATACTAATTTCACCCTGTGCTCACTTCTTCTCCCATTTGCCACTAATGTGAAAGGAGCATCCAAATTACATGGGTGAGAAAACCGGGGCCGTCACTCCCCACCTCTCTCACACACAGAGAGCTGAACTCTCTTTTTGCACCATCATATATTTCTCTCCCCACTTTATTCTGAGGCCTGGATTTGGTGAGGGTGGGGGGCACCTGGCTCCAAGGAAAATGCACAACCCCGAGATTTGCTAAATACTTCCTGAGCCTGGACTGAAATGAAGGGTGGATAACTTCACCACTGCAGTCTCCACAATCCCAAAAGTATATTCAAAAGAACGACAAAAGCTCAAGTCGTTGAGTGGCAGCCAGAGGGAATGACAGTGGGGGAAAGCCCCTCCAATGAGATCAGGTTGATCCTGCACAGAGGATGGAGTGGGAGTGGGGCAAGGCCAGCAGGTGCGATCCTGCTCTCTCATGCATGGTTTAACCTCGGGAAAATCGTCTGCAGAGAGGTAAGAGCATCTTCAGAACGGCCACAATCTGCTTCTCCAATGGAATACGCCACACCACAAGAAGATGGAAAGCGAGTGGAGAGGTACCCTCAGGCAGTTTCACCTTCCTCCGCCCTTTGCCCAGCGTTTCAGAGACATACCAACCATTGAGCTGGACCCTTATTTGGTGGCATGATTGCCACTCCCTCCTATGATTCAGACAGGCTTGCCTGCCTTTGAAAAACGTCTTGCGGTTGCATTATATATATATAATACAGCACTTATGCTCAGTGTTACCAATTCGCTTAAAACAAACAGTTTTTTTAAAGTTGAAAAACTGCTCAGGGGCGTGCAAGACGAGAGGTGCTAGCCAGTCTGCATCAAGCACAGCCTGATTCTGCTGCAAACAGGGAGATCTGGTCTTTCAGAGTTTAATCCTAGAGAGGAAACTGTTCCTGTGAATGACACATGGCAAGCAGGACACAGAGAGAAGCCAGGGATGGAGGAAGGAAGGGGCAGAGGCAGCAGGGTTTTCCCAAGTGGCCTTTGGCATTGAAATGCTTGTGGAAAGACCCATCAAGCACAATGTGAAGAAGAGGCTTGGATGTCATCCTCCTCCGTCAGCAAAAGCAGTTGCTGACCAGCTCCAGGAGAAGGACTAGGGAACAGCTCTGGCACTTGGTTTTGCCTTAACCACCTCTGGGGAGGCTCCTAACGTCATCCTCTCCTGCCAGCTGCATCTGTGGCAGCTCAGGAGACACGCAACTGGATCAGAAGCTCCCAAAAAGAAGAAGAGAAAGAAGAGGGTGAGGGAGAAGAAGAACCTTTGTGTTCCGAAACATACTTACAGGCAGGTGTGTAAAGACCGCGAAGGTGCTGCGCAGGAAGGCAATGAGGTCCACCAGGTAGTCGCTGGCCTTTGAACCTGCCTCGACGGCCATCCAGTCATAATCTGCAAGCTGCAAGAACTGGTCGATCTTCTGGTTCAAGTTCGTGTAGATCTCCTCCTCTGCAGCATGGCGAGCATCCTGAGGAAGAAAAGAAGGCTCAGCGGGAAACGAAGCATTGCAACTGGAATTCTTTGAGTGAGGTGGACCCTCCATGACTGCCTCCAGGATCCTTCAGGAGGATGTAACCTCCCTGGGGCCTTTTGTGAAGGGCAGGTACTAAACGTAGCTTATATAATAAATAAATATGCAAGTAAAAGAAAAACCTTTGACAATGGTGGCGAGCTTTAATGGCCCTAAACAATTTGTGATCATCAGCAAACTTGGCAACTTCTCTGCTCAGCTCTTACTCTAGGTCATTTATGCACAAGTTAAAAAGCTCAGGTCCAAATAGCAATCATTCTTGGAAGTCCAAATACAGTTGTACCTCGGGTTACAGACACTTCAGGTTACATACGCTTCAGGTTACAGACTCCACTAACCCAGAAATAGTACCTCGGGTTAAGAACTTCGCTTCAGGATAAGAACAGAAATCGTGCAGCAGAGGCGCAGCGGCAGCTGGAGGCCCCATTAGCTAAAGTGGTGCTTCAGGTTAAGAACAGACCTCTAGAATGAATTAAGTTCTTAACCAGAGGTACCACTTTATAAGGTTCTGCTCTTAGGCAGGAAGAACCAGATGCACAAATATAGGATGGGGGGCACCCAGCTTACTAGCAGTACAGGTGAAAAAGATCTAGAGGTCTTGGTGGACCACAAGCTTAATGTGTGTCAACAGAGCGAGGCAGCAGCAAAAAAAGCTAATGCTATTCTGGGCTGTGTCAACAGAAGTCTAGTGTCCAGATCAAGGGAAGTAATAGTCCCACTCTCTTCTGCCTTGGTCAGACCACATCTGGAATACCGTGTCCAATTCTGGGCACCACAATTTAAGAAGGATGCTGACAAGCTGGAAGGTGTGCAGAGGAGGGCAACCAAGATGATCCAGGGTCTGGAAACGAAGCCTTCTGAAGAACAGTTAAGGGATTTATACCCAATTTAACCCAGTAAAGAGGAGACTGAGAAGGAATACAACGGCCATCTTCAAATACCTAAAGGTATTCCATCACATGGAAGATGGAGCAAGCTTGTTTTCTCCTGCTCTGGAGGGTAGGACCAGAACCAATGGGTTCAAGTTACAAGAAAGGAGATTCTGACTAAACACCAAGAAGAACTTTCTGAAAGGAAGAGCTGCTCAACAGTGGAACAGTCTCCCTCAGGAGGTGGGGGACTCTCCTTCATTGGAGGTATTTAAGCAGTAGTTGGACAGCCGTCTGTCATGGATGCTTTCGCTGAGATTCCTGCGTTGCAGGGGGTTTGGAATAGATGACACTCGGGGTCCCTTCCAACTCTGCAATTCTCTGATTCCATGGCTCAATGTTAACCAAATCACCTTCATCTATACGCCTGCTGACATTCTCAAAGAACTCGAATAGGTTCCTGGCACGGGCTTTGGCTTTGCAGAAGCCATGCTGGCTCTGCTTCAGCAGGGCTTGTTCTTCAATATGCTTGGTTATTGTACCTTTAGCAGAGCTTCCCGCCAGCACACGGCACCAGCCTCACCTTGAAGGTGGTCGTTCCATATAACTTCGTCGTGTGGACGGTTTCTGGCAGGACGTTGGTGATGTTGGTTATGAATTCCTCAAGGAACCTGCAGGACTTCTCCAAGTGCGTCGTGTTGATAATAATCTGGACCAGCTGGAAAAGGAGCAGACACACATTTCACACTTTGGTTTTTCAACAACCGAAAGCAGAACAGATAAAACCAAGGCAACCCACAATGGGCACCTGCGGTCATTCAGACACAGCCTCTGGCAGAACACAATAGGTCTGGACAAAGAGCCAGAGAAACGGGTCTCTCTTCCTCAACAGGTGATGTTTCTAAGCCATTCATGGCTCTCTGGGAAGGAATTTCCCAAGGATTTCTGCTAGAGGCAGAAGAAAAACTCTAATGAATTTTCTAAATTCAGCTCGTCTCCAATCCCATTAAAAGGCAATCTGGCTACAGGAAGAAAAAAAAGCAAGACAGTAGATCTGAAGCCCTTTGCCAATAAGTCTTAAGTGACAGGAGCCTGAGTGACAGCTCCTCCCTCCCTCCCCCCAGCTCAGACAAGGCTCTTTAGGAAAACCTGCAGGCACTCGGAGGGGCAATTAAGAAAGAGCCAATTTGGTTGTCTCAGGATTTGAGGGTTTGTGACTGCTGCAAAACATGCCCTGTTATTTTTTCTTGGGCTGGGGGGGGGGGAGAGATAAAAATGCTCCAGCGCCTGACATTAGAGGAGGCTGCAGGTATTTCTGAGGAGGAGCAATACAACAAAAGAAAACCAGAACCTCTTTTTCTCGTCCTGCCTTCCCCTCCCTGACCCACCCCCCACGGGTGCTGGGGATTTTACACTAAAGAAGGGGGATTCGCATCAGTTGTAGGGCTCCCTCTTACCTCTGGAGCCATCTCAGCTACTTTTGATCATCTTCCCGTTTTTTTGAAACCAACTTGCTTCCATTCCAAGGCCTCTCCCCACTCCTGCCAGGCTTCTAACAAATACAGTGGAACCTTGGTTCCCAAACTTAATCTGTTCCGGGAGTCTGTTCGATTCCCGAAACAGTTCAGGAACCAAGGCGCGGTTTCTGATTGGCTGCAGCAGCTTGCTGCAGCCAATCAGAAGCCACGGAAGCCAAAGAACATTCAAAAACCGGAACAATTACTTCCGGTTTTCATTCATTCAGGAGCTGGAACGTTCGGCTCCCAAGGCGTTCGGGAGCCGAGGTTCCACTGAATCTAACTACCCCTTTTGCCACCACCTTATTAAGCTGAGAAAGTCGGCTGTTTGTGGGTTAGTGAGATTAGGTGAGGCTGGGTGGAGAGTGCAGCGCATGCGTGCAAGATCTCTTGAGGGTGAAGTGCAATCGCAGATCTACTCACGCTGGGGGTAGCCAGCCCCCCACCACCACCACATTCAACTTTTAGTCACGCGTGTTGCATGCAGGCTCTCCCAGACCCCACGTCCCCAGTGATCAGTGGGGTCCCACGTTAATTGACAGGTGCATCACGGAGAGCTTCTTCAAGGAACTGCTAAGAGGACACTTGGACCTTCGGTTTTAGCAGGCGTGAGAAGCTACCACCACCACTCCAAGAATCGTCTGTGTTGTGGAGCAGCATAAGGAATAGCCTTGATGGGGAGGGTGGAAATGATGGCATGTTTGAGATCTGGACCAGTTACAGATGGGTAGCCGTGTTGGTCTGCCATAGTCAAAACAAAAAAAATTCCTTCCAGTAGCACCTTAAAGACCAACTAAGTTAGTTCTTGGTATGAGCTTTCGTGTGCATGCACACTTCTTCAGATACGTATGAGAGATCCTGTGTCCAAGGCAAGGAAGTAGGTGGGAGGCAGGAGAAGAGATAAATCAGGTGTGTAGAGAGGGGGCTTTCTACAGCACTGCTGAAAATTGCTCTTCCTTTCAGATGTGGCCCATGAAGCTGGGGAGAAGGCGCACAGAATTCATGCTCCCATATCCAAAGTAACTATGAAGGCAGGGGCAAACACACACACACACACACACACACACACATCCGAAAGCAGAGCACTCGCCTCCGTCAGGCCGACGTTCCTCCTCTTGATGACATTCTGCAAGCAGTTGCTCAGCGTTCGAGTCAGCAGCAAGTTGGTCGATTTCCGAATCATGTCATCCACTTCGGTGGAGCTGAAAGGCAGAGAGAGATGTGAAGAAGAGAACCAAGCATTGCTTTGGAACCAGATCATCCTGGAGGGTCAAGTGGCCCTTTCAAAAACCCAGCATCAAAGACAAGGCGGTTGCCACCCAGGCAGACTGAGGACCTGGGGGAATCGTGATTCCAGCAAATGGCAATTCTGAATTTTCATGATGGCGGAACAGAATGAGCCAGACGAGTCCTGATGGCGAGCAATGTTTTGCACCCTGAGTGTGCGCATGTTGAGTAGTTGAGGATGGAGATTTCAGCCTATCATCACAAAGGAAGGGACATCCCGGCAGAAGCTGAGCTGAGCCCACAAGGATGAATGGGGGGAGAGAAAAGGTGAGGAGGAACAGGCACCTGTGATTCACTCTCTTTTTGTTACACTAATGGAAAGGGATGTGGGTGGCGCTGTGGGTTAAACCACAGAGCCTAGGGCTTGCCGATCAGAAGGTCGGTGGTTCGAATCTCCGCTCCCATTGCTCCCGTTGCTCTTGTCCCTGCTCCTGCCAACCTAGCAGTTGAAAAGCACATCAAAGTGCAAGTAGATAAATAGGTACCGCTCTGGCGGGAAGGTAAATGGTGTTTCCGTGCGCTGCTCTGGTTCGCCAGAAGCGGCTTAGTCATGCTGGCCACATGACTCAGAAGCTGTACGCTAGCTCCCTCGACCAATAAAGCGAGATGAGCGCTGCAACCCCAGAGTTGGTCACAACTGGACCTAATGGTCAGGGGTCCCTTTACCTTTACTATAAATGGAACCATGTTGAATTTATGAAAACTGTCATTGATTGTTTCATATAAACCGCCATAATAGCTCCTGGTCAAATTCCAGAACAAGTTACATGTATTTCATACATCCAGGAACGGTCCCAAGTCTGAAAGCATGGGGAAATAAAGGAAGATGTAGCAAGTGGAGACCCTCAACATGTGTTAACGTACGGCAGCTGCAATCCAGTGGAACAGTCCACAGGGACGTGACTGCGGCATCCCAAATGGTGTCCAGAGTGAAGCCCAAGTCATGTTCCCAGAAACAGGAAGCAACCTGGCATGTTTCCTGGCATGCACCTATCTGAGTCTGGGTGAGGACAGCACCCAAGGGGACCAAAAGGAGCACTAACCCAATTCTCAAGACTCGGAAGGGTGCCCTGTGCCAAGACAAGCCAAACACATGGCCAAGGTGTGTTTTTTTTGTGTGAGAGCAGAGTGACAAGGAGTCCGTCAATATAAAGAAAGAGCGTAGGAAGGAAAGGATGTAAACGCAGTGTAAAGTAGTCTTTATGTGAGTATATTGTATTCAATTATGGGGTATCAAGGGTTTTCAGGGCTAACCAGGCTGGGATAGCTGGGATAGCAGGCTTGTGAGTCTTTGAATGTCTGATGTAGATTTTTTTCAATTTCGTTGTTCTGTATGGGACGACGACAATAAAGATTATTGTATTATTGTATTGATGAGCCTCCGATGAAGCTGAAGGCTGGGAGATTCAGGACAGATCAAAGCTCTTCTTCATGCAGTGCCCGGTCCACCTATGGGACTCCCTGGCAGGGATGGCCCCCAAGCTGGATGGTTTTAAATGGGGATTAGAGACAATCATGGAGGAGGAGAGGGCAATCTGTGGCTACTACCTCTGCGATGCTTCTGACCTGCAGTTGCTGGAAAGGGCAGGAGGGAAGAGGGCTCTTGTGCCCAGATCCTGCTTCCGGGTTTCTCACTGGGGCATCTGTTTGACCCCTGTGAGAACAGGGCGCTGGACTAGGTGGAGCATGTGCCTGACCCAGCAGGGCCCTTACAGGCTCTTATCTCAAGGGCATCACGACAGACAAACCAGGGAGCAACTCTAAACTCTCCTAGTTTGAGGCAAGGAGTGCCCCCTCCTCCTCTGCTACCCCCCCAACTCCTTGTACACATTCCTTGTCCTCCCCCCCCCCGACTACTCCCCAAGGGGAGGCATTTGTTGCTTGGAATCCTAATTAACAAAAATCACACTCCGCGTTCTTTGCTGCAGGGTCTGCTCTTTGCGGGGCAGGGAGGTGGGGAGCTATTGAGTGTGCCGAAAGAAAGACATCTGTGACAGTGACGGCTGGCGGCCCCCGAGTTCCTGCCGCAGCAGCCGTGACCTTCGTGGCGGCTGTGATGGACAGCCTGACCCCAATCACTCCGGGGCGCACCATAAATGACAGGGGAGAGGAGAAAGGCAGAAAGAAAAAACCGCCGCCGCCTTTGCAGGCAAACGTCCTAATAAAAACTAATACAAGCTGTCAAGCTGAAGGGAAGAGTCAACAGTAGCAGTAGCAGCAGCAACAGCAGCAGCCTTTTTTTCACAGCTCCCTTGTTGCTCCTGCTCGAAAAAAGTGCCCTGCTAAGCCAAGGCTGGACATAATAACAATAAAGGCACTTATTTCTAATGAAGGACTAAGGTGGCCTCCAGGCAAGAGGAGCGGCCTCTGCTGGTCCTGCTCAAGGGAATCGCAGAAGGGAAAGCTCTGGACTCTCAGGAATGTCCCTTGGGAGAGAACTCCACCCTCTATCCAAACCAAGGTGGACATTTTCTGCAAGCATTTGCCCTCAATGCATGGGCACACGTGGTGCAACACACACTGTTTTCCAAAAGATGGGACTCCAGGGGTGACAGGAGTAGAAGAACCACACTCAGCCAGAAGGAATCAGAGAAGCAATCTTGAAGATGCCTCGAGGCATCCGTCTGCGATAAACACCACTGCAATCTTGGCTCTTTGTACCCTGTCCCAAAGGTCAACCCCCCCCCTCAAATTCTAGATTTGGTGGCCAGAGCAAGCAATGCATTCTACAAGTGTTCATTTTTAATAAAAATAAAAAGTTGGCTTATGTTTGCAGAAGCTGCTCTTCTTCTGATATGGACAGGGAAGGGCCACCGAGTTTTGTTCAGGGTTGAAGCTTCTCCCTTGAAAGCTGATGCAACAAACCGTTGGCTAAGACAGCCTTCCACAACCTTTTGGCCTACAACTCCCACCTGTTTCACCATCATACACCTTTCTGGATGGGGCTGATGGGAACCATACAGTCCAACCCACCTGAAGGATGCCTGGGTGGGGAAGGGTACTTTTACGGGTACCTGTCTTCTTCATCTAAATTACACATACGTTGATGATTAATATTATTGGCAGATCCTATTATATGGCAGCGTTTTTTATGTGGCTCAACAGACAACGCTCACTGTCACCACCTGGTGAGAGGAAGGGGGGGTGCCCAAGGAGAATTGCTTTAATGCCCCAAAATGCCCTGGGAAAAGGCACTGGTTTTTATCAAGTCAAGAGGAGTCAGTAGCATCTGGTTGTCATACCTTAGGTGAAGGTCTTCAGAGAACTTCAGACAAGCATAGATAAATTCCTTGATCTGGCTGTAAACTCTAGGCACAAACTCGGAAAAGGGGAATTTCTTGGGGAACGGTTGCTGAAAAAAGGAGAGTGAGAGAACCCCAAGGTGTGCCATTATTATTATTATTATTATTATTATTATTATTATTATTATTATTTCCACAAATAAGACCTTAGCCCCTTTGCTCCCCCGTCTCCCCTTTCAGGAGTCCTTCTTGGACAAAGTCTTTCCCCCACGCAGAGCAGCCTGGCTTCTCTTTCACTGGGCCTTCTAGTCCTAGAATCGACCCCACACAACGTTGCTTTGGGGCAGCTGGCAAGCAGGCCAGCATGTTTTCTTCAGCAGCACAGGCCTCCCTTAGGAACAAGCAAAGGGAGGCTGAAGGAGGCATGCCAGCAAGCTCCCCACTGGCACCTCAACCAACGTGGGTGGCACCGGGCACAGAATTCCTTTGAAGTCAGTTTGATTCTAGCCTTAAAGCTGTGGCCATCAGGAACCAATGCCCAGGTCCTCAGCGACGTTCCTCTGCCTATCTCTACACCATCAGCCTTGGACAACCTGGTGCTATCCAGCTGTTTTGCAATGGCCATCAAGTTGGCTGGCTTTAAAAGAGGACTGGACAAATTCATGGACGATAAGGCCATCGATGGGCTACTAGTCAGGATGGCTCTGCTCTCAACTCCACAGCAGGAGACAGTGAATGCTTCCAAAAACCAGCTGCTGGAAACCACAGAAGGGGGGAGTTGCTCCTGGGCTCATGTCCTGCTTGCAGGTTTCACACGGGCACCAGGTTGGCCACTGCAAGAACAAGATGTTGGACTACATGGGCCTTTGGCCTGATCTAGCAGGCCATTCTTATGCCCTTATGTCCTACCAGGACAGCTCAAGCTTATGGAAGTCACAGTCTAAAGCATCTGGTTGGTGAAGAGTCCTCTGCACCAACCTGCTCATGTTTGCCAGGGGGAAAGTTTATTTCTCTAAAGTCTGACCAAGTTGGAGAGTTTTCTAGTCTTCACACAAGGCCCCTTCCCTCCTGTCTCTGTATGGAGAGGTTCTTCTGAGCTAAGGAGCTTGCCCTCTTCCCTGAGGAAGAACATTCTCAGTTTAAAGGATAGGTGCCTGCCCAGCTTTTTCTTGAAAAGTCTCTAAGGGGGAGCACATGGAAGCTCTGACACACCACCTCAATCCATAAGTCATTTTATTTGCACGCCGTCTTTCCAATGTCAAAACCATGTTCAGGGCAGATCAAAACCTACCTGACCATAAGACGCGCCTAGTTTTTAGAGGAGGAAAACAAGGGAAAAAATATTCTAAACGAAACAGTGGGTGTATGATTTTTGTGGTTCATGCTGTGGCCACAGACATGTGATCTGATGGTGAGTTTGGGGTGACCCAATGCAAAAATCATGAGGATCCATGTGGATCCGTGCTTTGTAACCACGTTTTTGCACCACTGTGGCCCCGCACAACAGTGGATGCGTGTTTCTTTTGGTGAAGGCTGTAGCCATGGACATGCTATGTGATCTGATAGTGAATTTGGGGTGACCCAATGCAAAAATCCTGAGGATCCATGGGCTTTTACCTTCTCCCTCCCAGGCAGCCTCCTCTATCGCTAGCGTCCCTTATCTCGCTCCCAATCGGCAAACAATCAGCGGCTTTGTTTCAACACCCACTTCCCTCTTTCAAAAAAAAAAGCATGATCTGCTTTTCGCCCCTGGGACCACACATTCACTCCATAAGACGCACAGACATTTCCCCTTACTTTTTAGGAAGGAAAAAGTGCATCTTAAAAAATACGGTAGTCATAAGCAATAAGCTAAACATCAGCAGTACACAACCAAAGTGGACAATTTCCACATAAATCATTAGCTCCAAAATAAAGATACAAAAAATCAACAACAACATAATAGCCCCACCAGACCCCAACCCCCACCTACCTACCTCCCACTTACCTTTTCCAGCTCCGGATCATGGAAGGGAAACTGCCCGACCATTTTCTGATACTGCTCTTCGTTGGCCACCGGGATGGGACTGTAGTTATCCGAATCCAAAATGTTTCTGTGAAATGCGACAACACAGGAGGACAGTGAGAAAGATGGACCTCGCTCTGCTCCAGGTAGGAGGAGGAAGGCCTTAGCCTCCCAGGAAGCCACCACAGGAGCATTTGCAAGAAGTGAAACGAAGCAGTAGCGTGACTCTGATGCTGGAGACAGAACATCGCCAGGATCCACTGAGGACACAGGAATGCTACCGGGGGCAGGTGGGCACTGTCCTGCTTCTCCTGCAGAACATACAGTCAAGCGTGTGGAACAGATGCCAAATCACAGCAGCCTCTTGAGCAGGCAGCCTCCCCCAGCCCACAAAACCCTTCCGGAGTGTTTTCTGGAGTCAAGTGAGACCCAGCCCTGCAGAAGGTGTAACCCAGGCGCCCACCCCCACCCCAAGGTACAGAAGCATCCGGCCAGGGGAAGAGAAAAGGAGGCAGCCAGCATCTCCGAGGTCTCTGCCCCCGAACGCTTGAGACCAGCCCCCGGGGGCTTCTGAAATTAGCCTCACCTGAAGGCTCCTGCCCACTTCTTCAGCAGAGTCTCACTGTACTGATCCCGGATTTCCAGCAGCAAGTCAAAGAGGTGGTTGACGGGGAAGCCGTATCCCTGGGCAGAGACACACAAACTTTCGAGCACACGGAAAGCACACACTTCACACATTACACAGAGCGGCAGATCCAGGGAGAGAGAAGGGCAAGGCAGCACGTTCACGTTTCGCATCCTGGAGGGTCACGTGGAAAGCAGCTTTGGTGCTCTGCCCCTTGGCTTCTGGGGGGCTCTTGGGGCTTTGAGAAGGGCCCCAGGGAAGCTGGACTTCTAGGGTGGAGCACAAGAAATTGCAGCAGAGAACGTTTTGGGCAGCCCCTCCCCACAGAATCCTTGAATGGTAAAGCTGGAAGAGACCCCAAGGGTCAGCGAGCCCAATCCCCTGCAATGCAGGGATCACAGCTAAGAAACCCATTCCTATACGAAGCCCAGAAAACTGTGGATGGAATTTCAGAACACGAAAGGAAGAGGCAAGTCTTGCAGGAGCAGGAAAACCTCTCAGGGGAACCTTGGCACCAAGCTACAGCCACTCAAGCAATGGGGAGAGTCAGGTAAGGCCCAGTGTTGTACAGATTCGGGGGGTCACCAGCTGCTGCAAGTGGCAAATCATAGGGCAGCCCCCTTTGAGCCAGGCAAGGGTTGGGGGGCAGAGAGAAGGGGCCCAGGCTCAGAAGGCTGGCTGAGGAGGCCCTGGGCACATACAGAAAGCTGGCAGACTTATGGGGCAGTGGGAGCAACAAGGAGGAGCTACACACCTGGAGCGTATCAGCGAAAAGCACAATGAGATTCTTCAAGTCCAAAATCAGGTTGGGGTCAGAGCAGTAGGACTGTAAGAGAGGGGAAAGGGTTATTTATTGACATGCTACTGTTCCACCCCACCTTTCTTCCAGAAGGGTCAGAACAGGGAGCACACCGGGAGGGTGTGTGAAAAAGAAACAAGAAATGTTCTCTTTTAACTTCGCCTTCCCCCCATAGACTTCAGATGCTGTGAAAAACAATAGTAACCAAGGCCCTGCCTTAAAAAATGAGGAATACAGTGAAGGGCTTTCGTTGCAGAGAGGGTACCACTGGAAGCGAAGCCAGAGACCCCCACCCACCCAACTTCTGCAACGGTGTTTTCCAAGGACCAAGGCTGCCTGCCCACCTACAACCACTTCAGACCAAAGGGACTGATACTCACGGAATGCGTCCGGAGAGCGGCGATCGTCTTTGACAGCGCCATCTCCCAGAGCTCATCGATGTAGACTCTGTCCACCAAGCCCTGGCTTGTGTGCAGGACGTGGTCCTCAATGACGAAGAAGCTGCCAGAAGAGAAAAGAAGGGGAGGCTGTCAGGAGCCGAGCTCAGGTGTCCTTGAGTCCGCATGGAATTCGACAGAATCCGCAAGCTGGGTGGGCTCCTGCAAATCCATCTGGCAAGCCTGCAAGTCATTGGGAAGCCCCACCAGCAGCCTTGGTCCAGAGCTCTGGGTCGGGTCATCATGGGGAGTTCATGGGTCTCCTCCACTCGCTCCAAGGCAGGGAAAAGCCTCACCTTGGGAAGCCACAGACAGAGCCGGAAAGCTTAAAGGTGGTTCAAAATAATTCGCAGAGAATAAGGCTACCATTGGCTGCAAGCCGTGATGCTGTCTTGGAGGGGGGATTTCTCTGGAAACCAGTCGATGGGAATCACCAGGGGGAGAGTGCTTCTGCACCCAGGTCCCATTAGGGTATCTGCCTGGAGTAAAGATCCCCAGTGTTGAAGCAAGGATTCTTCAACATCAGCTTCTTTGACTGGTCATGTTGTGCAGATGCCTGATTATCGTCTTCCAAAGCAACTACTCTATTCTGAACTTAAAAATGTAAAGTGTAATGTTGGTGGACAACAAAAGAGGTTCAAAGATTGTCTCAAGGCAAATCTAGAAAAATGTAGTATAAACACCGACAACTGGGAAACACTGGCCTGCGAGTGCTCCAGTTGGAGAACAGCCTTGACCAAAGGTGTCCTGGGCTTTGAAGACACTCAAATTCAGGACGAAAGGGAGAAACGTGCTAAGAGGAAGGAATGCTTGGCAAACCCTCACCAGGATCAACTCCTGTCCAGAAACCAATGTCCCCACTGTGGAAGGACGTGTGGATCCAGAATTGGCCTCCACAGTCACTTACGGACTCATTGTTAAGACCGTGTTTATGGAAGACATTCTTACTTGGCTACAAGGGAACACCAAAGAAGAAGAAAATGAAGAGGGAGAAGGAGAAGAAAGATCTGCTTGACCACAGTGAAAACAGGATGCTGGGCTAGGTGGCGTGATCCAGCTGCAGGGCTCATCTTATGTTCTTAGGACCATCTTTCCAGGCAACTTCCTCTAAATATGCACCTCTACTTAGCATTGCACTTGCAACTGGGCTTCAGACTCAAGTGTGTGTGTGTGTGTGTGTGTGTGTGTCCCTCAAGTCACACACTTGGCTCCTTTGCTCACATCTCCCATAATTATTTGCTCTGCAGGCCTATTTCCACCAATGAGCTGGGAAAGTCTGATGAATGCACACTTCTCTGGCATTTGAGAACTATGCCTCTCCTGATGCTGTGGCTTCTGTTAAACCTCAGCTCCATTCTGCTCCACAGCCGGGCTGAGAAATCCTTTGCCTCTGCTCCTGGAGGAGCACTGGCTCAGCACGGCAGCAGAAACATCCCAAGAGCCGGGAAAACCTCTGTGCTCTCATCATTCAGGATGTGGGAAGTCATGCAGGAGGCATCTTGAACCCCAGGACTCCCTGACAGGCTTCTTCTTGAAAACCTCCCCCCCCCAAAAAAAGAGGTTTCACAGCCCCCCTTGCCATGGCAGCTGAAGACCCAATTCACTGTGCACAAAATCCCTCTATTCTCCAGCCTGCAAAATGTGCAAGATCTCTCTGCCCTCACATGCACCATGCAAGATTTGGGGCATTCAGACTCATTTAGGAAGCACGTGGTTCTCTTGCTTCAACCCCCTCCATGTAGGACTTTTTGAAAGGAGGGGTATTTGCAGCATCTAAGCAGATGAACAGAAATAACAATACCTACCCTACAATCTGGTTGAAGTATTTCCGGTAGCCGCCCAATGTCTCATGCTGGAGGGGGAAAGAAATGGATCAAAATTAAAACGTGCTGAAAAGAGAAGGGAGCAACCTCAGATATCCAGAGGTTTGGTGGAGAAACCCTCATCCCCAGCCCAGCTCTGAAGCTGAAACCTATTCAAGGGAGCCCCACCTACCATGTTGGAGGGGGGCTGCAGCACCAGCCGGGCCTGCTTTCTCCTCTGCTTCCGGTAGTAGCTCTCAAAGGAATCTCGGGCGCCCTGAGAAGAAGAGACCTGGTCAAGCTCCAGTCCTGAATGCCACCACCTCCTGCCCAGAGAAAGCAGCTGCTCCCCAAAGGTGAAGAACTGAGACAAATCTGTTTTGAACATGGCCAAGTAGAGATCTGAGCTCCTGAGTCTCTTGAATCCTGGAGATGGAAGGGACTCTGAGGGCCATCTAGTCGAACCCTCTGCAATGCAGGAATCTCATCAAATGCTTAATAGAAACATAGGAGTATATCCAAGGCTGACCATCCCCAAGCCTGGTTGCAGCAGGCGGTCCAGGGAAAGGGACTTCCAAGATCTCATTCCTGGTCAGTTACCACCAAGTCTGCCCCTATGAGTGTATCTGTGAAATTCATCTTTCTTTGCCCTGACATGCACCACTTTACACTTGCTTATATTGAGCTGTATTTGCCATTTTACCACTTTGCCACCTCACTGCTCATCCCTAACTCTAGATCGTTTATGAACAAGTTAAAAAAACCACAAGTCCCAATACTCCTCTTTGGTGGACTCTGCTTTCTACAGCTCTCCATTCGGAGAATTGTCCCTTTCAATTTATTCCAACTCTGTTTCCTGCAACTTTTGTTGTTGTTGAGTTGTTTAGTCGTGTCCGACTCTTCTTGACCCCCTGGACCAGAGCACGCCAGGCACTCCTGTCTTCCACTGCCTCCCGCAGTTTGGTCAAACTCATGCTGGCAGCTTCGAGAACACTGTCCAACCATCAAATCATCTGTCGTCCGCTTCTCCTTGTGCTCTCCATCTTTCCCAACATCAGGGTCCTTTCCAGGGAGTCTTCTCTTCTCATGAGGTGGCCAAAGTACTGGAGCCTCAGCTTCACGATCTGACCTTCCAGTAAGGACTCAGGGCTGATTTCCTTCAGAATGGAGAGGTTGGATCTTCTTGCAGTCCATGGGACTCTCAAGAGTCTCCTCCAGCACCATAATTCAAAAGCATTGATTCTTCGGTGATCAGCCTTCTTGATGGTCCAGCTCTCACTTCCATACATCACTACTGGGAAAACCATGGCTTTAACTACACAGACCTTTATTGGCAAGGTGATGTCTCCTGCAATTTAACTAATTCCTAATCCACAAAAGGACCTCTCCTCTTATCCCTTGACTATCAAACTTTGGATTCTTTGAAGAGGTACTTTGTCAAAAGCTTTTTGAAAGTCCAAGTGCACTAGGTCAAGTGGCTCGCCTCTATCCATATGCATGTTGACACTCTTGAAGAACTCCAAAAGATTCATGAGACAGGACTTGCCTTTGCAGAAGCCATGCTGGCTCTGCTTCAGCAAGGCTTCTTCTTCTATATGCTTGGTTATTTTATCTTCAGCAATACTTTCCACTAGTTTTCCCAAGACGGATGTTAAGTTAAGTGGCCTTCAATTTCCAAGATCCCCCCTGGATCCCTTTTTAAAACTGTTGTTACATTGGCTACATTCCAGTCCTCAGACAGGAAGGCTGATTTGAGGGACAAGTTACATATTTTTGTAAGAAGATCTGCAATTTGCTTTTTTCCTTGGGAACTGCTGGATGGATGCCATACAGACATGGCGATTTGGACGTTGTCGTTTTGTTTGTTAGGCCTAGAAGTTCATCTCTCTCCATCCCCACTATCTGCTTCAGTCCCTCGGACTCCCTTGCTGCAAAAGGAAGTTCAGGCACTGGGATGTGCCCTGTATCTTCTGCCATGAAGGCAGCCCCCAAACTTGGAAGCCCTTCCCTGCAGACCCCACTCTGCCCAGCCCTGCAGCCACCAGAAAGGCAGTCTGGGGTGGGGTGGGAGATGGGGGGATTTTCCTGCCTCACCCACTGGGAACAGCAGCTCCATGTTTTCCTAATCAACCCGACTCCAAGGAACTAAAGGCCTATTTTCCATTTAAACCTCCCTCTCCCTCCCTCTCTGTGGGTAAGAGAGCAGCGAGAAAGTTCCTTAAAGCCTTTCATTTCCCCTGTCTGGCTGCAGCTGGAGTTCCCCTTTTAACTGCCTGGCCAGGGGAAGTGAAGACAGTTTTATATAGGGGGAAACTCTAAGGGCTGCTTTAATATGTTTGCATGTGAAGAGGGGAGCCCTTTTCATACGGCTCACTAATGAGGGTCAGCGGGATATCACACTTCGCCATCTGGCTCATTTGCACAGCAGGGCAGAGGCTGGCCCTACCCTTGCGCAAGGGCAGAGCTGGAAGGCTAAAAGGGTGGTCAAGAGATGCCCCCTACTGGCCACATCCTGGAACGGCCACCATCCCGGCATCAGAACTGGTCAGAAGGGTCCCCTGCACCGCCTGATGCCATGGCTGGAAGGGAGATGGATGCAGAGGGAAGACTGTGGTGAGCATCAGTGCCATGGGAAGAAAGGAAGTCACTGAATCATAGAATTGTAGAGTTGAAAGGGACCCCAGGGGTCATCTATTCCACCCCGCAGCAATGCAGGAATCTCAACTAAAGCATCCTGGCCAGGTGGCCATCCAACCTCTGCTTAAAACCCCCCAGGACCACCTCCTGAGGGAGTCCGTCAAGCAGCTCTTACCATCAGAAAGTTCTTTCTGATGTCCTTCTTTGCACAGCACGTGGATAAGCTATGGAACTCCCTGCCACAGGAGCAGTCATGGTCACCAACAGGGTGGCTTTGAAAGAGGATTGGACAAATTCATGGAGGAGAGGGCTAGCGATGGGTTTTCCAGCCACAGTGGTTCTGCTCTGCCCTCCAGAGTTGGAGGCAACAGTGCTTCTGAATTCCAGTTCCTGGAAACCCCAGGAGGGGAGAGGGCTCTTATGCTTGGATCCTGCTTGCAGATTTCCCATTGGGACATCCGGTTGGCCTCTGCGAGGACAGGATGGTGGGCTATGTGGGTCAATGGCCTGATCCAGTAGCCTCTTCTTATATAAGAAAGCAAAGCAGTCACACCCAAGTGCCCTTCTGCACTCCCCTTTGGACTGCTGCTGTTCCTCTCCCACTTTGCTTGCTCCCTGGACTCCTCCCCACACATTTCCCACCAGGACAGCCCCTCCCTCCAGAGTCCCCAACCAACTTGCCCCTTCAAGGCTTTTTCAAGGCCCCACTTTTGAGCAGATGACCCAGTCCCACAGGCCTTGGGTGAGTTCATGGGGCTGCTACACGTTGTTGGCCTGGACAGAGGGAGTAAGGAGCTCAGGACGGATGGCTGCTCTGGCCAGCATCTCTTGGTCTCCACTGTGCAGTTGGGCCCTTGGGCTTCCTTAAACACCTCCCTCGGCCTCCAAAAAACCAAGCTGAGACTCCTGCATTGGCCGGGGGTTGGCCTTGATGACCCCTGGTAGTCTCTCCCAATTCTACAATTCTATGCTTCTAAGTCCTGGTATAGAGGCCCTTCCCTGCTTGAGGCCAGCAGTCTGGGCCTCTCTGCCCCTCTGTGACAAAGAGCCTTCTCCACTGCTCATTTCGCTGGCGGAGCAGCCCCTTAGAGCAGCCTGGGTTTGTCTTGGCAAGCCCCAGGCCTGACCCAGGGGAGCTTCTCCTTGGAGGACTTGACAGCAGCCAGCAAAGAGGAGGCTGAAGGGGCCTGGGCTTTCAAAGCAGCCAAACACCATTTGTAATGGGTCTAGCCCCTGTTCACAGATGACCTCCCTCCTCCCGAATGTAGAAAATGAATTTAAAAGCCCTCCTTGATAGTCAGTCCTTGTGCAGTCCAAAGCACTGCTAGCTCTGCCAAGGGTGGCTTGAACTGATCACCACTTTCCACAAACTTTGATGCAGGATTGTAAACAGGTAGGCCACGTAAGAGCCATGGGGAAAGGTAGATGCCCACACAGAGAAACAGTGCAGCCTACAACCCAATATGATAAATTTTTCGAACGTATATGAGGATTATTTGCACATTTTAAAAAGTGTAAACTCTTCGTAAACACACACCTTGGCCCTGATCCAGAGTGCACAAGCGAGGAGCTAAAGGCATTACAGACATCAAAAGATGCAGTACATTCACTCTGCACAGAAAGCACAGGCTCTGTGAACTGTTGCTCCTGGGCCCTGGCAGAAGGCAGTGGGAGATTTCCTCGCTTCTGAAGACAACTAGTTGCAATGCGTGTTAGACACTGCAATAAAAGTCTATTTTCTGAGCTTTAAGGTCACTTCCAGGTGACCTTTTTATTGAGCCTTCATCCGGATTTGTATGCACAGAGTTTGCAAGGAGGTTAGACCCCACGTCGGCTGTTTACTGAACATTCATTTCCTCGTATCCACATCATCTTCCCCCGGACAAGATGGATCTGGTATTTAAGTCAAGGGTATTACATGCGCTGGAAGGGGGAGGAGGAGAGAAGTCTGGGAACTTTTGTTCTCTTGCCAGAACCTCTGGCGACCCAAGGAACACATTTTCTGATTTAAGAGATAATTATGACATACAAACGATGTGCAGGACAACTCCAATTTCACATGGCAAGCAGGCTGTCCTTTTCCTGTGAAGCCCAAACTTCAAGGCTCAAAGCCCAAGAGCTAACGCAGGAGGTGTGTTTTCCTGTCTCCTGGAGGTCATTTGTTTCGCCCCAAGTCACAGAAATCAGGAGAGCCCCACAGAAACACACCCCACACACCCGCTGTGTGCCCACTCCAATTACAAATCACTGCAGGGAAATGGCGGGCGGGAAGGTTAATCTTCCTTCACAAAGCTACCCAGGACAACTGAATTCATAAGAAGGCAACATTTTGAAAGCTGTTCTTAAGAGGGGCGGCGAACAAGGCCCCTTTCTTCCGATGATAGGTGGGGTGCCAGCCCTGTCTGCCCTTTCCTTCTGCATTAACGCTCCTCCAATGAAGTGACTAGGAACAGATGCCAGTTCAAGTGCCCTGGGAGACCCAAAGCCCCCAGAGCCTTAAAGCCAAGCACATTCTCGTCCTCAAAGGACAGCAGCTGGAGGAGGTCCCTGAAGGTCTCTCCTTCTTCTCTCCTCCAGCCAGAGAGAAGAGCGCAAAAAGACAAGAGATGCTCAGTGGCCCACTGGGTCCGGCATCCTGTT